ATCATCAAGACTAACCGGAAGTTTTTTCTAAAAAGCCATTTTGGAGGGATACATTACCACTGAGGAAACTGTAGATGTAACTTATCTTTTCTTATAAATCAATATTGATGGAAATCCACCGACCGGTCCGGAAAATGTTCTCTAAAGCTCTTGCATGGAAGGATTGTGTGCTATCATCGAGTGAAACAACTCAGATCTTAACCTTATCTTTTATTTGGGTAGATAGTCTCGAAATGAGATTCAGTATACACTATGTTAGCTGTAATCGACGCTTCTCATCAAATCCGGTCTTTTCAGCAGGTTTTGGTATCATACCTTATACAAACTTTGGGGTTAACAATTTATTTCATCCCCCGCGGCCCACACACATTTAAAAGTGGAAAAATGTATCAATGTAGTCAACCGCTAGTCTGCTACAGGTCAACTAAGTTGAATGTTAGCAAACTGAACAAACTGAAAGTGACCCCCTTGCACATTGCATTTGTTCGTTATCAGATCAGACAGAAAAGCGTGCTAAATGCATAACCATCGTGCAAGATATTATTTGAAACGCAACAAGCATACGAGAAGACGATGAGGCTGAGTGGGCACGTTCACAAAAAATACTGTGCCTACAAATTCGGAGAGGTTAACGGACCGGTTTCGCTCCCTTTTGACACTGCGATCAACTATAGATCACACATCACCTAAGCATCAGGGCATTTATTGCAATTCATTCGCAGTATGTAAAATACCTGAATGAAGAAAACTTTGTGAAAGGACAGAATTTTGATTGGTGGCACGTTGCCGTCCAAACGTGCACGAATCGGTTAGCTAATAGGCAGAGTTTGGAACTTTCACTTGAATAGCTGTATTGTTCAACTAATGACCCTCATTTTCTTGTGCTTATCCACGCCTGCCCTTAAACCTTGTTTGTGTTCATCAATCCATACACAGTTCTCCAGATTTGCATGTCATCACAATTATTACCAACATATTTTATGCTTCAGTAAAGCTGATTCATGAAAGAGTGAGGAGGATCTCCAGTAGGATACACATTCTCATTTTGCGACCCGAATTAGTTTGTATGCTGTAATTTCAATCTCCGGTTTTCCGTCCCCTATACTGGCCAATCACCGATGACTCGAATAAGAATGAAGGAAAACAAATGAAATGGGAACTTCAATGGGTAAACACAATATGAATATTTAGAAAGTAACTCGATTCAAGAGCGTTACCGTTAAACGAGACTCAATTTTATCACTCACTGTCCTCAATTGTGCAATAGGTCATTTTTCACGAACGAAACCAGTAAAGCTAAAATCAACTTAATCTTGAAAATATTCCTAGTTGATTTATCAACCCTTTGGTGGTTTTTAATTTGGTAGCTGTTGAAACTCACTGTATCCGGTTTGGAAGAGAATTGCAAGCTGATGATGATTATTTATTCAGTTACACACGTAACAAACGTCCCAATTACAGTTGAAGCACTTGTTTAAGGGCCGGGCCATGATTACCCAAATACCGTCGCTCACCGTTGGGTTATATGTCATCGTCTCACTAAATTGTCAGTGTGGCGTAGGTCACATCTCAGCAGCGTGTATAAATAAGGATGGGCCGGATGTGGGAATATGTATTCAAACTGTCCGGTTCCACAGCGATATCAGAGATGTTTCAATTCCGCCAGCGCCACCTTTGTACCTGCCGATAATGTTTGCGAGATCAGACCACCAAATAAATGCAGGTTTCTAAAGCAGAAGAAACCTGCGTATATTGTTTGCGTTCTTGATAAAAGTGAATATTTGAGTAGAATGAAAGTGAATATGAGTGCTCAAGCAATGGAACAAATCACCTAACTCTAACCACACTTGACAGTCTACTGTATTCGTACTTCACATTGTTCACATTGCTTTGCAATGTACACGGGAACGAATTCGACGCGTAAAATGAATGATATTTTCGTCGCGCAGGATCAGCATGTTGGCTTTTCCTATGTCACATGATACTAATCATAAAAACAAAACAAGTGCGGAAAAACAAGGCCTATTTTATTTATTAAACAAGGAGTAGATTTATAGTGGTATCGTACACCAAACGAGAGGTAAACCAGTTTACCATTTCTCAGGGGTGGTGGGATGGAAGCTCGGGAGTTAAATAGACATTCCTGAGGGTTTAAGAGCTCGGTATTAAAACTGGACAATCTTGTGACCATCTGGCTATTCAGGTTTGACATCTGTGAATGTATTTTATGAAATCAATGAATACAAATCGGGTCCCCCTTATTTTTCATGTACTATATACTTGTTGACAGCGAGGAGAATTCTGGTAGCTAGTGTGTTGGTCGATAAGAACGCTTGACAACACATGCGTTTGGTCAGCTGCATACAGATCACCACTTACTTTGATCATCTGTTGATTAACAAACGATTCGCTCCTCGCGCGTTTGATCCCATGAACAGAAATTGAAGATATAATGTCCCCGGTTTAATTCTCATTATATATGTATATACTTCAAGGTCATGAGATGCAACACGAAAATCAACCTTCTGATGAACAAATAGGTTCATCTTCGGGGTCATACGTGACTACTTACACTGAAATTCTAGAGAGAAAGAAGCACGTAAACAATGTCGTACAACAGAATTATTGGCATTCCACGATACACTTCTAGGGTTTTCCTTCTCTCTCTTTTGAAGAACTATGAGGACTAGGAAACAAACCGTTACAAGAGAAGTGCGTGGCATCTGCTTCAGATGACAGCGTTCTGGAGTCTGACCAATTACAGATGATAACTGAATGTGATAATCTATGTAGCAGCGTATATAAGGCGTGATCATTAGCATGTTCTCTACTACCATTTCCAAGTATCAAACCCCAGCATCACAGGCAGATTTTATATCATACGAATCTGTCTGATCGAGGCCCTATTCGCTTCCTTAATCAGAGTTCTCATAACTGGATAGTTTGTTTCTAGTGAATAAAGAGGTTCATTTGTGTTTCTGGTTATAAAAAAATTAGATATAATTTTGAGAAATGATTACCTTCCGAGGTGAGGACATAAACAAATAGTTTAATCTCATATTTGGGTTTATGAATGGGAATAAAGTTTGGTACCGTATACAATGAGTCCAGTTTGGAAAACACTACATTATGGTAAACGATTTTGCTCGAGACAAGCAAAGTTTGTTTCTGTTTGGAAAGGCATATCCGACTATCTATGAAAACTTTACTGTGATCAAGTTGCCCCTATTCAACTCGTGGGTTTTCTATCACAGTATGCAATAGTCCTCAACTCACTAGATTTGCATACTTCTGAGTGAGTTTCTCATCACAAGCTTTTCCGTTTAGTCAAATAGGTGAATATGAATATCATAGTCGGTCGGTGGTTGTAAACAGTTCAAAAAGTACATCCATGAACTTTTGTCAATGGAAAAAGAAAACCCAGAGCACTACATTTTTTACTTCAATCTAAATCATCACCTTCCGTGTGTCCTTGTGTCCGTATAATCTGGAAGTAGAAGGGAAATCCGTGAGGGTGATCACCGATAGACCCCAGAATGCAAGCAATCGTAGGCGAGCACTATGTTGCGTGGAGTGAAATGAATCCTCAATTCAATGATTTTTTCTATAGGGTTGGGGTTCGAGCTTGAATCTCGGCTTGCGAATGGACACTGTAGTACACTGATTTTTTTTTACAAATTTTTCGTTTACGGGTCTCCGATTCCGGAAACTTATTGAAAAAAATATTTACCCATAGATATTTGAATGAATGGGGATAGGAATGGTGGAAACATCATATCCAAATTACTCATGAGTATCAACGGTGATAGCCACACACCGACAGAAAACGTTTCGAATGTCAATACCTCATTGATTTCAAAGTGAACCAATGTATGATTGGTCTAAGCATGGTGAGCTAGTACCCATATCGGTGTGCATTGTCTGGTGCGCGCATGAAAAAATGGTGGCTTGATTCTCACGGTACCCTGGAGAGGAAAACTATGTTTCATATTAAACAGATCAGAGATGAGAAATTTTCGACAACCAGTACAGAGTATTTCAGTTAACCGTGATGTAACACCTTCAGCTTACTTGTTTCATTTTCAGTCAAAAACGATTTACCTTCTTTCATGTTTTCTTGGAGGAAAACACTTGGTATGTTACTGGTTTTGAGAATTAATAATACGGAAGACTCAGCAGTGAATCCTATATTGGTATGAAGACAACAATTCTTTTTTGTTCGTTGTGCCATTAACAAAGTCATTTAAAAATCTTCGGGCGGTGGTGGCCATTTGATTAGGTCACCAACTTGCGATCTGGGAGTTCCGGGTTCAAACAGCTCCACTGCCACCCGTCTTCCCTATATCTGTATTTTCCAGGCAGCGTTTGCATGGCCGCGCCTCCCTCCTGAATGTTGACTGAACATTTGTATGTTCAATAAATAAAAAGGTAAAAAGACATTTGTTCATTGGAACGAGTAAGGGTTGAACTGCTCAGACGACCCTGTCAGCGAGCGAGACGGATATGCAAATTTCAGTGTAATGAATGCTAGCCAGCTGCAAATGATAATATTTTGAAGTTGGTTGCGTGGTACAGCGCAGGTGACAAGTGAAAATATATGTAGCAATTCATGAAAGTGGATAATTGAGTTGATGCAATAGAAAACTGGTCTATCAAAGTGTGTAAATAGTCCTTTATTACGATTTTAATGTCAACATCAAACTTCTATGCATAATGATATTAAAATTCACTGAGTTGCCTATTGAGTGCCGTTTAACAAATTACGGGCTTTGTTAATCGCACTTGATTGATTAATGTTTATTACATCCTTCCTTGCATTGCGCAATCTAACTGATTTCTTGACAGACGAGAAAGTGTTACGTGAATCGAAAAATACTGAATATGTGTTGGTGTTCAATTGATTGTAGCCTCTTCAAAATCACTTGTACTGACGGGGTGGTTCCCGTCAAACCACATTGATCCGGAACCCCCAACTAGCAGAGAGATCCCATATCAAGGATATGTCTAATGACACATTTTTATGGACACCTTCATCAGTCACTTACGTGAATGCCACCTGGATACAACATTTTCTGTGGATAGCATTAAATGCGAGCACCATCCCACAGTTATCCGATCCCGGATCCAATCGGAACGGTTCCCTATCCGGATGTATTTCCTTTGGTCGCGAGCACAGTTCCACGGAACCACAAGCACTCCTGGATCCCATCCCTTCGACCATCTATGTAGCCGATATGATTGTACGCATCATTCTGATTGAAGCCAGCCAGTTCACTCACTTCACGGAACAGACAAAATTGCTGGAACATGAAGTTGGCGAATGGATCGATTCGTATCACAGAGACGCAAGCATCTACTGCACCAATTCGCTTCGATTCAGTCATGAGTTTCAGCGACTTTCAGCCGAATCGGAACAGGTTTTCGGGGTGGAGAAACCTGGTAAGTGGTTTATCGCTGACGGAAGTGACTGAGCACAGAAAGTACATTGCCATTTCTAATTTGCGCAGCAGCAGTTATGAACATGTAGAGTGGGCTATTGTGTGTTTCGAATTACGTCGATAACTGTCGGATTTTAAGTCTTATCATTGTTCCGGAGAGACCGACAAACGGTCGCCACTCCATTCTTGAAATGAATTGATGCATCTGTGTCCGTGGGAAAAAATGATGATATTTGTTTATTTATTTTGTTCGGAAAATCAACAAAGAAAAAAAGAAATTCAACTACCCCGTTGTCTGAAATTATGCACTACTATTTGAATTGCTTATGCGTTCTTCTTGATGTAGTTAAAATCTGCTCTACACTATTTGGTGTCATCAGTATGCTCTTGAACCAGTAAGCACATCGATAAGCACGTGTGTGTTCCAGCAGTAAATAGTGAGTTTGTTTCCCAGCTTCTTTGTCCATGGTCATCCGCTTCTTTGATGGCATTTCAGGCGTACACTTGCACTGCGATTTACTGATTTCATTGGCGTGGTTTTCTCATTTCAACAAGATGCATCTCGTCACATTAGGATTGCCCATTCAACATAGAGAGGCCTATGTGGAATCCGCAAGGAAGCATGTAAGTTGATTGCCACGTTAGGTGGTTCATAGAATCCACCGGAGTCCATTGAATGAAATTCTTAGGTAGGGTAAATTATTCAGCTCCAAAGGTTGCTACTGAAATTTGAACAGGTGAAGCACGATGCTTAAATCTGCCAATCAATAGAATTTAAAGGAGAGACATCTCAATTTTTCCTCCAGTCATAATGGCGGCCTTTGGGTCAATGTTTGCGTTTCCTTGGTGTTTTGTTTTCATTGCGAAAAGTACAATTTTGACCTATAGAAATTTCCTTCGGTCAAGCTTTTCATCCATGATACAGCATCTTTCATGTTCCTTGGTGGCACATATTTGGATTATCAAATAGTTCTACATAAACTCAGAGTCACTTCCATTGCTATACTGATTCTGGATCATCTTGCATGGTGAACGTTTATCTTTCCCGCTGCATTCTCTGTTGCTCAGTTTGGTCGCCTTGCAGTTTCCCATGATAGACATATTACTGGTTCCGGGTAAACCATATAATTATTTGGATACTGGGTTGAAGTAGCTCCGAACAAAGCATCTGGATGACTTTTACCACGTGGAACGGAAGTGTAACTCTCCAGAATTAACTTTATTATATGTGCTGATTCTGATTGTCTGCTAACATTTCTTCATATACATGACGTCTATCCGTTTGTAACACTCAGTTTTACTTCTTATGTGATGCAGTGCTAAAGTGTCACTACGAACATAATTTATTTAGAAACTGATTTGCTCGCTGTTTCTAATGTGAACGAGTTATGCGTATACCGTGAGCTCATAGACCATAGTACATGACTTCTGAGGACAGATTTAACCGAGTATCTTTGAATTGGTGACTCCCTGGGCTTGGCTTGCGCTACGTGGATGCTTACATGTTTTTTATCTAGTTCTCTGTATTATATTACCTGCCAAAACTGTCAGACCTATGTATATTTCGTTCAGAAAGATATGAGTCTGGCCACATTTCCTGGAGATAGTTTTTCATCATTGAAACAAGTGCTGATTACCAGGAAAACATCAAAAAATCTTGACCAAGTATTGTCTTTCATTGCAGCTTACGTATACATTTATCTGCAGCGGTTGTCCATCAAACAAGCGCTTGTTAATACAGTTGTTTTATTCTAGCCCACTCTACTTTACCCAAAGCTTTATTTGCCAACCCATATTTATCCGATCTTGACAGACTGACCAAGAGCTGAATCTTTTCGATGGATGGTGCATATCAAATTCTCTCCTCGCTTATCAACATAATTATGTCCATTTGGGAGACGCCAATGTGCTTCGTTAATAAGCCGATTACACTTAATGTGCTGCCAAACGCATGTGGAATCTTTCTGTGCCAATCGTTTCGCGGCCTGTTTGTTTCAAGGTCACAAAAGACTGTCACGTATGATTCTAAACTGTCGTCTTCATTATGAAACAGTTTCTTGCAGCCTCTTATGCGCACCATTCAATTGCTACTATAATAACACTATTGAACATGGTTTGTGAAGTATTGCTCCGGGACATCATACGGTTAGATAGTCAGCAAGTAGTCCTGAAGAAAAAAATAAAATTTGCTTCGAAGTCCATTTCCTTCAACGATGTTTGTTATAAGGTTTTCTTTTTCCGTGCGATATATCATTGTGTACAGGTGTATCATCAGAGTCCCCATTTATTTCATTCGTGATAATCACCTAGTCGTGTATATAGCAAATGAAGCGTGAACTGAAAAGCTCGGAAGCATTGGACAGCTGTTCCGACCTGGTTGGGTCTCATCAGCAATGCGAACCCATTGACCCGACTGGGGATCGAACCCGGGAGTTCATGGGCAGAACGCAAGCGTGCTACCCACTACGCCACCGAGCAGCTGATCAGACCGTTTTTTACATTTCCAAGTAGTGCGAATCCATCGACCCGACTGGGGATCGAACCCGGGACTTCATGGGCAGAACGCAAGCCTTCATGGGCAGAACGCAACCGTGCTACCCACTACGCCACCGAGCAGCTGATCAGACCGTTTTTTCATTTCCCATTTTACCGTGCTACCCACTACGCCACCGAGCAGCTGATCAGACCGTTTCTCATTTCCCATTTACAAGCGTGCTACCGACTACGCCACCGGGCAGCTGATCAGACCGTTTTTCATTTTCCATTTACACGATATAGCACAACCCATCATTTGCTATATACACGACGAATTGCCATTTGAAATTTAACCAAATCCTCCATTACTCACATGAAATCACCTAGTCACTAACTTCTTGCTGTTCGTTTATATTACGTTGTTTCGGATAATAGTAGAGTTTAATCGTTTGTAATGTTACAATCATGAGTGGATCTGCAGCTCTCGGGTGGTTCCAATGCGCATACCCAATCCTTATATCACGGAACAAATTAACTCTGAAAGTTCGGTTGCGTTTGAATGGATCCTTCTGTGACAAGCAGCGTGCATGCCGTTTCGGACCGAAAGTAGAATCTGCGCTCTGTTATTCGGTAGCCAACTTATCAACGATTCTATCGGATTTTAGAGGGTGGATATTTATGGGAACGTGTAGGTATGTGTACATATGTAATATTATTTTATTTATTTATGTATTTATACGTATATATAAATACGTATATATATTCACGTTTGCATAAGGGTTTATTTTAACTTACCATTTTCTTGAAAATCATAAACCGATAAACTTATCTCTACTACCCTTACGTGCGTTCATTACTTATAATTGGGTTTTACGGAACATAGCATATCTCACATCCCTCATTCATTTTTTTACAGCATTTTAGCTTCAAAATGCGCTCGGTCTGCAAAGATTTATACAGACACTTTGTTTCTTGACCCGCCAATGGATGTGTTTTTGTTTTCGACCCTAATAAAAATTCGCAATCTTGCAAAGCGTCTGTATGTATGTAAACGTTTCATTGGGTTATAGTTGTCGGTTGTTATCTTCAAATGTGACCTGACTGCATGATAATGCAATTTCGGCCCAAGGATCTAGGGAATACTGTTCGATACGCCACTTTTCATAGTGCTTCTTTTCTCTCGCCGTTTGCGATGGGCATGCAACCTCAATCGAAGCAGAAAATCCACCAATTGTGGATTTCGGCAAAATGATAGTTCATTGTTTATTTTGTTCTGTTTTCGAACACAACAAGTTTTGCAAGACGATTATGGTCCACACGGGGGAATTAACAATATTCGGAATGGAGCAAAAGAAGAAGTCATTGTTATTGGTGATTTTCTCGTATGCATGTACACACTGTTTACACCACAATCAAAAGTATAGCAGTACTTTCTGGTTTTTGATTGCCATTACAATTTCGGTTGTACACTTGTGCAACATAAATGCATAATAATAAAAACAAGGATACATTGGGCAATTTAAAAAAGCAGCTGTCGTGTAATCCTTTAACAGGAGTATGGCAGTGGACAGCCAAACTAAATGCTAAAGTAAGATGATGTTTACGGGGTTTGAACACGAGCTGCGTGTAATAACGCTGCAGTATTATTACAGACGAGGAAGATTAAAACCCTTAATTTAATAGCCAGGTGATTCCATCACATCTTTTTTCGGAAATTGTAAAACTAGCATGTAATTCAATGCAGTGTGTTGTCCCATGCAATACAGTCCCTCTGTGCTGTCATTCAACGCCGTGGGGTTTGCTAAATTTGTCATGAATCCTTTCTGTACTGAGCCGGTCTCCCAATGATTCATCTACACGGGAACATAAAAGTAGTGCAGTACATCTGAAAACTCGTATCCAAATCTCTATCAGTCATTCAGTTTGTCGGAAGTGTTTTGAACTCAACTGTGGAATGGGAAGACTAAGGCAAGTAGAGTTAATTTCGGTCAAATGGCGAGTGCCAACACCGAATGTATCAAGAGCTGTAATAATGCGCTTGTGGTCCGCCTCGCGCCTCACAGGATGTATGAGCTCGAGAGAGTCTTGCTAAGTTACTTTGGCTTGATATCTTGAAATACTAGCGAGACACTCGAAGCATACCCACTCAAAGCAGGACAAATAACCCTGACTTGAACTGATTCCACTTACTTGAATAGACTGATTTCTGTTAAGTCTATGTATCTGAGTTCACGCGAATAGTAAGAATAAACGCGAGTGAATCATGGTGCCTTATATTAGATTTCGACGTACGAGCTGTTATTTTCCTTGTTTATTCAATCTCTCCATACGGTCGGACTGTCTACCATTGATCCTGCAAGTCTTTACATTTTGAATATTATGATTGCCACGATACGAAACCGGACAGTTGACAAAACACTAACATAACACTATAACATTAACATTCACGATAAAACAACACATGGCGCATCGATTTTTCGATACACTCCTATCAGCATTTGGTCATGATGTGGTAAAAAAGTTGACAAAGCAGTTTCGTGGTCTCTGCGATAGACACA